GCCTGCCACGGCCTAGGAGAGCGGAGGGGGAGAAGCCTGAGGTTGCAGACTCGAGCTCTTCCTGGGTAAAAAGGCGCTGTTTTTTGCGGGTCCAGCGTCGCGGAAAGGGGAAGCAGGACATTAGAGGGAGATGTTGGAAGCCATTAGAGATCCGAGAGAAGGGGAAGTGAGTTATGTATGGTAAGGGCGTTGGTGAGATGGTTAGGATTTTGTGCGATTTGTAGGGTACAACATTAAAGGTGGATTGAGGCTGGAGGAGAGTGGAAGCAATTGAAAATCAAGCCGTTGTATTTGAATCTCGACTCTTTTGGATTTTTGTTTCTGGGGAGGAATTGGTCGGGGAGGTTTGCCGTGTGGGTATGGGGAATTAAATTTAGTTATTTTTGGATTAATTTATTTGCGTTGTGGATAAAAGATTTGGATGAAATTGGCCTTTTTCGTCAATTGAAGCCAGCAGACGTTTGGCCAAAAAAAGGGGATGTTTAACATCTTTCCATTACTGTGCTATGTTTTAATCATGTAAATTGTAAGAAAAAGGTATGATATTTATGATAATTTTAAAGATAAACAGAAAATTATAAAAAGCTATCATATTGATGAGATTATTGTCATGATCTAGTTTTAACTTTGATGTACAAGGGTCAATAAAAGAAAGTCAAGGTATGTACTGTCAATACTGATTAAAATAGTGCGGCCTATTACTTTTCTACGTCAGAAATTATTTAAGACTTATCTAATAGGATTTGATTGCAATAATTAAATTATGTATTAGGTGAAGAACTTTTTTTTTATTTGCCGCTCAGTAATAATAGTACTTATGGCACCAACGTCACAGCACAACTAAAATTATTTTTAAATAACAACCAATGCTGTCATTACGTACTTAAATTGACACTTAGTGTTAACATAGATTGAAAAGCCTTGGGGAATGAAATGCCCACCTTTTTTCTTAAAACATCTAACAAGCTGCAAGCTTTGGTGGTTAATTATCAAAGGTTTTGTCTCTTCAAATTTATCAAATATAAAATTTTTGGGCAAATTTTATACTTTTTTTATTAGCATTTTCAAAATTCAATTCTGGGCTTAATAAGACTCCATAATTTTATAGCTTCTATTTTGTCATGATAATTTCGTTGACACGTTCATTTTGTATTATCTGTGACAAGAATTATTCAAGATAGATTGAATTAGACAAGGCCTAATCAACTCAAGGCCTTGATTGAATTGCCTCATTTATGTTTTAGGTGTAGCAACAATGATTATCGCTATCAACACCACTCCTCTAGTTTGTTAGGGAGGCAGTTGATGAGTCTCGTGACATCTTTTACCCTGATCAACACAATAACATCATTAGATCTTCTTAAAATTTTTTCATTTTTACACAGTTTGTTTGCCTTATATTAAATTTCCTATTATATTGAAGGATCCTAATTCATAAGAACAAATTAGACTAATTATGTCTTTTGGTCCTTAAATAATCCATAATTGTTTTGGTGAATCAGACAATCTAAATTGCTATTCGTTAACTTTTTGGGGTTCAAGTCGTTAAGTGATTTAAAACAATATATTATTTTATTTTCAAAGTATTTGTTACTCATAGTTGACATGACACCATTGTTTGTTATTAGCTTAGCGCCAAATCTAGTCTAAGCACCACTAAGTCATTGAGTTGGTTAAGGCATTACATCATCTAATCACTTTTTGAATATAGGAGAGCCTCCTAATCGGTTGCATTGACTATCATAAAATTATAAAATATTCAATCATATTATTGGTTAAGAGCCAAAAGGCCACTCATTTAATTTATAAATATTATTCAATCTCCTTTTCATATTATGAACTATAGAGATCATAAAAATATTTAGAACTCCGACTACTTAAATATTCTATTTGGTCAACAGCATATCGTCAAATTCTTTTTTTTCTGGTCACTTAAAATTCTAATTGATGATTTTGATGTTCCCATATCTTGTAGCCGTAAACCAAATTGAATTGTTTCATTTTCATTCCTATTTTAATGAAGGGATATTTCTAATTACCTCTCATCATTTTGACCTAGAGTTCTCGAATTCAAAATCTTATTTCTCTTGAAATCCACATTATAGTGGTTTAAAATTTTCTTTCATGTTTTCTTAAGATTCTCCCTGCATCACAATCTCCTAAAAATCCAATCAACCGTCTTTGATGCTTCTTGGAAGCTTAAGTAATCTATCCATTCTAGTTGTTCAGTCTATTTCCTTTCTTCTCTATCACACTCCACACCAACACTTTCATATTTTTAACTTTAGAATAAAACAAAAGATATTTTCAATAATTTTGCTCTTTACATTATACTCCGTGTTACCTAATTTTGAAGAAGGGAGGACGATATTTAAAGTTTCAATTTTAGATTAATATATTTATTTTTTGGCTTAGGGTTAGCCCATTATTTTTTCCATTTTACAGATTTTTTTATTTTAAATATATTTTTGTTAATTATTTTCTTGATCCATCTAATTATTCATAGATGATCATAGGACATGATGTGTTAGGAAAGAGATGAGATATTTTCTTTATTTTCTATGTTATTCGTGTCATTTTTATCTTTTTTCTATGGCATTTGTGGTTGTATATGCAGTGTACATATAAGAAGGTAACATGTAGAACATATGAAGCAAAAATAGATGCTAAGGCCCCATTTGGGGCAGCTTCTTCACCGTAGTGCGGCGAGGAACCGCAACTCGATGAGTTTGAAAAGTGTGGTGCAACAACTAATTACGATAATTTTTGTTAAACGAGGGACACGGGTTCGACCCTGTGGCCCACATTTTATCCCGTCACGTTTATAGCTACGCGATCTTCTCTTTGGCCCTCGTCTGTCTAGATCGCGATCGCATTCTTCTAGCCTCATCTCTCTCGATCTCCTTTCTTGATCAGTCCTCTCTCTCTCTTGTGCCTCTCTCGCGACTCTCTCTGGTGGCAATATATTGCCTTTGTCCTTTCCCTCTTCCCTCTCCCCTTTTATCTTTTTCTGGTTGCAACATGTTGGTTCTCTACTCTCCCTCTTCTCTCTGATCTTCAGATCTCTCTTTAGTTTACCGTGCTCTTCATCATCCCACAGGATAACCTATATTTTTTTATGAAATAATTTTATCTTTGCGTTTTGTGGCTGGCTTTCTCATTTGCGGTTTGGAAAATTTGGGTTTGAAGTGACAATTTGGATTTTACGATTTACAGCTTTCGCTTTATAATTAGGATTTTTTTGTGACTGTGTAGCTGATGGAATGTGGTTTCATCTTTACTTATGGTGTTTCAGTGAAAATTTGAGAAATGGTTGAAGGAGGGTGGTCGGTTTGTTCATAACAATGTTTTGGGTGCCCTGTATGATTGATGGAATGGGGCTTCTTTAACTTTGGTATTTCAATGGGAGTTTGAGATATAGTTGAAAGTGGGTGCTTCATTTGTTGATAGTAATGTGTGGTGGTGGTGTTAAAATGCATTTTGTGGCTTTCTCAGCCTTGGTATGAAGTGGAAATTTTGATTTTGTGATTTGTGGCTTTGTCTTTATGATTTAGATTTTTTGTTTTTGTGAATGTGTGGCTGAGGTAATGTGGTTTCATCTTTACCTATCGTGTTTCAGTGATAATTTGAGAAACAATTGAAGAAGGGTGGTTGGTTTGTAGATAGCAATGTTTCTGGTGCACTGTATGGCTGATGGAATGGGGGTTTTCCTTAGCTTTGGTGTTTCAGTGGGAATTTTTTTGATATATATGTGTGAGGGTGCTGGTCAAATGTGTATTGTGGCTTTCTCATTTGCAATTTTAAGTGAAAATTTTGATTTTTTTTGATTTGTGGCGTTTTCTTTATAATTTGGAATTCTTTTTTGCGAGTGTGTGGCTGCTGAAATAGGATTTTATGTGTACCTTTGGTGTTTCGGTGAGAATTTGAGAAATGGTTGAAGGAGGATGCTTAGTGGGTTGATAGCAATGTTTCAAGTGCCCTGTATGTACTTCGCTTGTGGTTTTGTCTTTTCCATTAGTTTTGAGTGGGAATCTAAGAATTGACTGAAAGGGTGTGCTTGATTTATTGATAGCAATGTGTGGAGGTGGTATTCATATTTATAATTTGATGGAATATGTGGAGGTAACAGTGTTGGTCCTAGAGGTGTTGGTGTTTGGTGGTGCCGATGGAGGTGTGGAGGTGTTGTTGGTGGTGTGTGAAGTTTGTAAGGTGTTTGGTGGTGTGTGAGTTGTTTGTGTGTTAGGGTGTGGAGTCTATGTTGCGGTGTCTTGAGGTGTTTGTGTTGTGGTGGGGTGTGGAGTCTATGTGGCGGTGTTGGAGGTGTTGGTAGTGTTGGAGTAGTGTATGCAATGTTTGTTAGTGTGTGGGGGTGTTGTTGGAGTTGGCAGTGTTTGGATGGTGTTGTTGCAAGTGTCTGTGTTGTGGTGCTGGTGTTAGAGGTGTATGTGTGGTGTTTGGTGGTGTGTGGAGGTGTTGTTGGCGTTGAAGCTATCTGTGTGGTGGTGTGTGGAGTATGTGTGGTGGTGTATGTTAATGTGTCTGTTTTATGGTGGTGGTGTTGGCGGTGTTGGAGATGCCTGTGTGGTGTTTGTTGGTGGATGGAGGTGTTGATGATGTTGGAGGTGTCTGTGTGGTGGTGTTTGGAGTCTATGCGGTGGAGTGTGGAGGTGTATGTGTGGTGGTGGTGGTGATGGAGGTATTTGTGTGGTGTTGGTGGTGTGTGGAGGAGGTGCTGGTGGTGTGGTGATGATACTGTGACATTCCAATTTTTCTTTAATTTGGGATATTGTGACATTCTTATATGTTAATTAATTTTTTTCATGCTAGTAATACAATGGTTAATACCAAAGAGGTCGGTTCATCTGCAATATGGAATTAAGTTCGGTCTTTGGAATGTAGTCTGGTTGGCGACATGTAGTTAGATAAGCAAGATGAAGTGCGGTCCGGGAGACGAGGTCAGGTCGGCAAAACG